GCCCCCCCCCCCCCACCCCCACTCACCCAAGTCATTTGCTCCCTGTTTTTTCAACCCTTGTTCTTTCTTCTAGTTGAATGCTTTTAGATTACTTGTTAGGAGCTGTTTCTTTGACATCTTCGCAATTTAGCTCATTTCCTCTGATTGTTTCGATTTTTAGATGATTTACAATTGGTTTTCGGTTTTATTTCGATTCCAGTACCTAATCCGCTCTTAAGTTCACGTAATGTCATTTTTCCTCATAAATATATGTATATAGTAGCTTTAATTTTGATAGGAAAAAATAGTCGATTTATGTCCTTTTTTTATTAATGTTTCACATCTGAATTTATTTTGTTTAGCTGGGAGGAGGAAGAAGACAGTTTCAAAACTCTCCAAAAGTATGCTATAGATGCACTTATTTAATTTAGATACTAATGTGCTCAATTAAAATAACGTAGATTGCATCTGTGTTAGTGCCTGTTTGATCTTTCTTAATCGATTACATGTTACGGCATTTTGTTGCTTCAGATCCAAGAAAAGTTATCTTAAAAGAGCCACTTTCAATATTAAAATACGCTACCTCAGGTATACTTTGCTTTGTGCAATCAATTTCTGCATCAATCTGATTGATGGGTTAATATCAATTCAATTGCAATTTCAGAATCCAAGACTACTCCTAGTGAACCATCGCAGTCCATATTGAACAGAAGTAATTCTAATCATTGTTAATTACTGATAAAAAAGCATGCTGAACCCGAAGATAGTTGATAAATACTCCTGTTAACTTATCTTTAGATATCGTCATTCAGTCCATTAAATCTGTTGTTGAAGAGGGTAAACTAATTTCATTAAATGATAATATAAATCAGCATGTTAAGCAGTGATTAGATGCAACAATTTTGCTAATGTCAGTATTCCGCTCCCAATTTTATTTCTAGAACATTTAGAAAAGAGAGAGAGAGTCTACTCAGTTCTCGTGGACAGAAAGAAATTGCATAATTACATTTGCTCCAAGTGCTTCGTAATCTTTGTGCTTGATTTGAGATTTAAAGATCATTTAATGAGAATGCATTTTTTTCAGAACCAATAGAACCGACAGAACACCTTCCACAGAAGGGTAACTTAATAGTTATGGAGAAATTGGGGGATGTGGAGGGGGGGGGGGGAAAGGATTTTTCCTTCTAACGATTAGTTGATATGGCGAATGGATTGACAGCTTGTATCGATTCATTAAGTTTATAGCAAAAGGATATGCTTACTTTATTCCGATCTACTTATTTTGTTTGAGAACTAGCACTATTATATTCAATCGATTTTTCTTTCTCCTTTGAATCTCTATTTGAACTTCTTAAGCCTCATTGCAAGGGGGGGCGAATTGAAAGCACATTCTATTTTAGGAAAGCCTGTGAGCATGCCTAGTTCTCAATTGATCGGAAATTGATTTGATTGTGTTTTTAGAGCCCGTGGAAGTGCTTGTTCAGTCTCCCCAACCGATTTCGAAATCAGGTAAATGGGAATAAGTAACGAGAACTTGCGTAATCAAGTCCTTACAATTTTCGTTTCCTTCTTTTGAAACAAGGGAAAGCATGGTCATCAGATGAGGGCTCAGCTGTTTTAAATTAACTGAAAATTTAAATATTTAACGGTAATAATGATAGGATTGTTCTCCTGAAAGCAATTTCATTCATGCAACAAGTCATGAAGCTGATTTTTCAAGGATTATTTAACATTTCTATGGAGACACTTTATTAAAATAATTCTACTCTAATACCTCCTAACCGTTTGTCGTCATTATGTCAAATTTTGAAAATCCTCGAATGTTTCCTGCTCACCTTGAAAAATGAATCTAAATATTTTGATTTTATTAGCCTAACTTTGTACATAAAAGATTTTCAGTTTGTTTAAATATGCCCTACTTTCTTTAAGGAGAGAATGCAAAAAATGATACACAAGACAAAATTTCCATGTCCCCCGTTCCAATATTCAGGGTGGGGGGGGGGGGGGGGGGGGGGGGGGGGGGGGGGGGGGTNGGGGGATGAATCTTGTCTAGAAATGGTGCTCTCTGCTTGCAAGTTCTCCTCATTTTTTATGTCAGTTATGTCATCATTTCTCACTGATGCAATGCTTGTATTTTTACTTCCGAAACGGCACTAAATTCCTGGAGTAATTCTTCCTGACACGTTTTGTTGGTTTCCCGGGAGCATGGCATGCAAAGGACAGACACGTGTTTTCGAATGTGTGGTAGACAAATCCTCTTCTCGCTTCATTACCTGGTCATAGATTTGCTTGTTATCTATTTTCGCGGTATTGGATTTGGAGATTGGTCTGTTGAGCGGGTTGCGCTATAAAATAGTTGTCTCTAGAGGTAAGCGACGAGGTCGTGGATCAACTTGTAAGCTTGATGCCTTCTCCCCCCGGCAGATTGGTGCAGAACTAATTGGTCAAGAAGTTACGCTAATATTGAAAGTTTTAAGAGACGGTGTTCATGCGAATAAAAGAATGTAGAGTTTCCGGACTACTAGTAATATGGGCGATTCGCATTGAATCCTGGTCTTGTTTCTTGCAGGAGACAAATTGAGAAGAGCGAAAAGTAATAATTTGGATGAGGAGGAAGAGGAGGAACTAGATGCCATTTCCCTTCCCACCATTCGAGCGAATATTCGCATCACCGTTGACGCAGGTTCGTTCTTCGAGGTTCACTCTTTCTCCCCCCCCTCCCCCCACCCCACTACTAATCGATAAATCGATAACATATTGGTTTCTATTGCGTGATTCGCTTGCTTAGCATGGCTTTCTCTCCATTGTGCTGCGGTTGGAATAGAATAGGTGGCATCACTGTCTTAATGCCTTTTGTGTCATCGGAGGCTTCTACTCGCGGAACCCCGAAGCGTTCGTTATTTACTTCGAGCATTTACTTTAGTGTGTTGCACTACACTGCTATACTGATGATGAGGTTGGTGATTTCGGCAATAGATCTGACGAATTATTTGTGTTGATCCTGGTGTTCTATGCGGGGAAGCATTCCAAATTTCCTTTGAATAAGTTGGATTTCAAAAGTTTGATCGTTTCCATCAAATCTATATATCCATAAATCTATATATGATGTTTTTTTGAAAATTATTCCTGTGGTTCCGGCATTGAAAGGGGTCAATTGCTTAAAACCCGGGAGGATGTTTTGCAACTCCATTAAGTGTGGCTAGTTGGCTACCGTTTGCCAATAAATAAGTTCTTTATGTTTTTGAAGGCCGAATATAGTTAATTCGACATCAATATTGAATTTACTGAATTTTCAAACAAACTGCTTTCAATTATGGTTTTCGTAGTTATCTTTTTTTCCTCAAGTAAATAACTCGTTATCTCAACCTAATCTCCTCAAAGCAATTATTACTACTACTATTATTGTTATTAAATTTCCTGATTTTCAAATTGCTTTTGCTTAAGTTTAAATAACGCGAAATCTGGGAAAAACGGCACATTTTCAAATGGTTGAGAGTATGACTAACATCGGAAGAGCGTAAAATTTAGTAAATCTTTTCACTTCATTTCGATTGCAATATTTGATATTTTATTTATTATTATTAAAAGTCATCCACATGCGTTAGGGTAATTTTCCTTAAATCAGCATTTAACCAATGCGACTGTATCAATCGTTTGAAACTCTAGATTTGCATCTGTTCAAGGTTATTAGTAAGGGAATTCTCACGATAATACTAAAATGTAAACTCCTAGATTCTTACTTAAATTAAAATTTGATTTGAATGGCTTCTTTCTCCCTTTCATCGCTTCCTCATGACATCATCTGTGTAGCTTTTCGCACGATTTACCCACAAACATTTTCTCTACCGATACTCGAAAATAGAAATTGACGTCCATCTTCCTTTTCGCCATATTTTGTAGAGAAAATTCCTGCTAAGAAGCGTGCTGATGAAAATTCCGTGAAATCCGTCTTTGGAAAGGCCCCTCAACCCAAGAGAAAAGCGACCGCTTTTGAGGTTGACGAAGACGATAAACCAACAATGCTTCGACAAATGGTTCAAAGTGTTCTTCGGCACATGGAGGCCATATTCGGTGTAGAGGAATAGGATTTCTGCAAAAAAAATATTGTCTATCCTATTCATTTATAACCATGCGCTAATCGTGCCTTAGGTTTAGTGATCAACCTAGCCGAACCACTTTCACCTCCTCCAAATATCCGAGGAGGTTCAAACCTTTATCCTTCTCCTTATTATCTTTCGAAAACATCTTCATAAAAATGAATGTGAACTCCCCTCCCCCCCC